GACTTATATGTCCACTACTCTTATTTAATTGAATTTATTATATGAATTTTACATAGGCTTTCAAGTATGGAAGGAGGTTCGATAATTCTTCGGAGTGTTGTGTCCAAAAAATCTGAACTTGAGGAATTGGCGGCTGGAAATATTGATGTTAGGACTATTGACTACTTTGTTGATGGCAAAATGGTAAATTCAATAATATATAATATGATAAAAATATTGTTTTGATTTTAAATGATTCATTTGGCATCTCATTCATAAAATAAATATATAAAAAGAATATAAAAGTATATGTAAATGTTTTCTAGATTGGAGAGCATTGGGTATGCGCAAAAGTGAGAAATATATCACAAAATTGGTGGTACATCTCGTGCCTAAAGTGTCCAAAGAAGGTCAAACGTTCTGGCAACAATTATCATTGTGAAAAACTTGGGGATATCAAAACACCTCTCTTCAGGTTTGAGAGTTTGATTTCAAAATTTCAATTAATAAAATTTGAAGTGACGACTAAGGGTGTGTTTGGTAAAACTAGCTGATAAGCTAGCTGATAGCTGATAAGCTAGCTGATAGCTTATATGTGATAAGCTAGCTTATAGCTTATAGCTTATGACTTATAGCTTATAAGCTAGCTTATATGATAAAAGTGTTTGGTAAAAGTAGCTTATAAGCTAGCTGAAATAAAAAATTCAACGAGCTTATTTTGAAACGCTACCTAAACAAGCTTATCAAATAAGCTCGAACTTTTTAAATAAGCTCGTCCTACCAAACAGGGCTTATTTAATACAGGAAGTTTATAAGCTAATCAAATAAGCTATAAGCTAGCTTATATGTCATACCAAACATACCCTAAATTTCATATTGTAGGTACAAAATTGAAATGGATGTTTGGGATTTTACTGGAGACATTTCCCTAATTTGTTGGGATCCCGTGTTCTCCAAGTTTGTTGATGGTAAATCATGCTTTAATCTTAAAAATGAAGCTGAGGTAATGAATATTTCCTTTCTATTCTAATAATTACTAATATTATTTATGTATTAATAATGCCAATTATAATTACATGTATTTATTTATTATTCATAGTATAGGATGTAAAGCATTTTTTATTTTCTCGATGTTTTAGGAACAGGGCCACGATAATCTACCGCCACTAATAGAGGGTGTGGTTGGTAAGACACTTTTGTTTAAGATCTTGGTCAAGCCGAAAGAAGTTAGTGGATATTGTGGATCCTACACGGTGAACCGAATCATTGGAGATGAAAAGTTGGTTGAAAAATTCAATTCTTCAACCATTAATGTAGAGGTATATCATATTCGTATTGTTGTGGTATCATCCCAAGATCATAAACATAATTTGAGAGAAAAACAAGTTTCTATTACTCACAAGAATAAAAACAAGAGATTTACAAACTCTAAACAAAAAAACTCTCAAACACTCCACAACTCTTTCTTGGTTGTGTTTCAACACTCTCAAGGTTGATTGATCACTCAAGGATGATTTGAAATGATGAAATGAACACCCTATTTATAGATACAAGCAAGGCACTCCATTGTTGAAAAGTTTGTGTGTGAAAGGAGAATGTTTGGTGTAGCACACCATTGATGACATGCATGGAACCTTCATTAGCTAGCCATTGTAATTTCTTCCTTTGTGTGCTGAAGGTAGTTGGAAGACTTTTACATTTTTGACTTGCATGGAACTTTCACGTATACCAAAAGTGCAATTCTAAAAATTATAGTTTATTTTTGTTATAATATTAGTAACTAAGATTATTGCTATCATCATCATTAGGAATCGGATTTTCTGACCATGTTGCAAAAGGAACTACAAGGAGGCTATGTAAGTACAAAATTTATTATATTTTTCTAACAACTTATTCATAATCAAAAATAACTTTTTTTTTTTTTTATTCTTTATTCCTTTCACCAGGCTTAATATTTATTTATTTAATTAATTCGTATATAGGAATCAGGAGAGGAGGTTAGCACTCCATTAAAAGAGCAAGAGCTCAAGGAATTCAAGGAAATTATGGGTGATAGCTCTGTTAAACGTGCCCTTTTTGAAGAGGGTTGTTCTTCTTCAAAGCCATTGAAACACCAAAAAGTCATTGGGAGCAACTGCGGGGTAGATGACGATACCACTTCTTCTTTTGAGGATACTGATGATGCGGATGCCTAGAAGTCTAGAATTACGCTACTATATTATTATCTAAATAAATTACTTTTGTGAGTTAGTTGGGTACAATAAATTATCGTGTCAGACTTTGTTTACGTGATTTTATTTATGGATCACTTTTATAATGTTATTCTGGGATTAAATTGTCTGAATGAGAGCTATTTTTGTTACAATATTTATTCTACTTTCTTTATAATATTCTTTTATAAAATATTTACATTACATTACATGGTTTATATTCTGTTACGAAGTATTTACATTTATGATGAGTGAAGTATGCCTGAAGCATGAACAGTGAAGGTCACAGAGTTTGGTTTGCATTTCATTACCGGTGCGATGCACGGGAGAATATGGTTCAATAACAATTTTTAGATTATAATACTACAAGTATATAATAAATCTACATAAAAGTGTACATAATAATCACATGGAGTGGAGTCTATTTGATTTTTTAATTTTAGTAGATTCCATTAAATGTGAGTGTTATGTACACCTCAATGTACAATATTATGTACTATTACTCTTACATATTTTATTAAGCATATTTTTTATTGATTTTTTTCATGTCAAATCTCTTTCTTATCTGTCCATGTTGTCTTCTTACATACTAACTAATTAATCTAAATTAACACATCGGTATACTATTATCATCTTTTAACTCTACTAAATCTTTCACTTTTAATTTGGACTACTGATTTTTTGTGTCCCAAAAAAAATTATTTTATCTACAATATACTTAATGTTCATGTGGAAGTAAAGATATTTTACGTTCTTTCATGACAAATTTAGGAAAATTTTGATTAATTAAACAAAGATTATATGAAATCATAGTTTGGCATAATAAAGTTAAAACCAATCAACAAACTGTATGTCAGAGATTCAAGAGTGATATTGGGATTCTATTCTAATATATTACACTAGAAAATCTTTCATAAAATGAATTATATTGTGTAGATGTTATATTTCCAAATATATGGTTAGAGTATATGGTATAAACCATGTATATAGTGGAATCTAGATCTCATCTCATCTTTATAGCTCATGTCAGAAAACGATCTACAAGTTCCACTACGCTCAGTCACGCTTTCTCTAATCTGATCAATTGCTTCGTCCTTGGCAATCTATTCGCTCAGATCCGCCATCCACGTCAGGTCAGCAGAACCTCACGCAACAATTCTCCGCCGCCTCCGAGCCCGTCGCCCGACGTTTGAGAGCCTGGTTGCGAGGTTTGAGAGCCCGTCGCCCGACTTCAACCTTAGGTTCGTCTTTGTCGATTTTTGGAAATTGTAAATCACCCAGTTATATTCCAGATTTTATTTTGTTTTTTATAGATGTATATTCACAATTGTATATACATATTCTCATTAGAAAAATCATTTCTTTTGCATCAACATGAGGTTATTGAACAGAGGTTATTGAACAATCAATCACAAGAATCATGAAGCAGCTAACTGGGCATACAATAATTGGCAAAAAACGTACCAGAGTCGAAAGTTCAAAAACTGGTAACTTTTTTTCTCTATTTTGTTTTATTTATTTTGATATGTTTCTGGTGTATGGTTAACAAAATTATTATTTTCTTCATACACATCATGCAATGGATATATATTATATATATTTGTATATATATGTGTATGTATATAATATTCATGTTTATTATTTATTTTTTATTTGATATGTTGCATATGAAGTTAATTTTTTTTGGTAAATTAGTAATCCTATCTTGTGAAAAAGCTAACTACCGAAATTGCAAGTTGGAGTTTCATACACTTTTTCTCTATTTTTTTTTTTTTTATATTGTGACAATTAAGAATTTATTTATGAAGACAATATTTCACAAAACAATAATTTTCAGAGAGGAGTTAAGTATGCCTACCGCCCGCCCCAATTCTAAATCTACAATTTTTAATGGGTTGAAGCATGAACTGTGAAGGTCACAGAGTTTCATTTGCATGTCATTACGATTATATATTTTATTAAGCGTAATATTTCAATAACATAGCATATAAGATAACATGTAATTTCTTTCTTGATCATCTTTGCTATCATTGGTTCTCCGAAAAATTGCTATTGTAAATTTAAATAAATTTCACAATATGCTTGTAGGTGGGTGTCATATATGTTCCACAATTTACAATCCTGTATGTTATGCCTATTTTTATAGAGACCTGTTGTATATCTGTTTTGTTGTATAGCAAAAAATTACTTTTTACACGTTTTGGGGATAAAATATAAGTTGTATTCTTTCTTATTTTGCAGATGAAAATGATACTTTGAGGCAAACCACGGTTATTCCATCAAATTTATCAAATTTGCCCATCCAGACACTATTTCCCTCAATACCGCTCGCTAACACTACTTGTGGTATAATTAATAAATATTTAAATATATTTATTCTAACTAATCTTATTTGTGTTACCTTATTAATTACTAAAATTATAATAGGTGAAGATTATAGTTTCAGTGGGAGACAAGGTATCAAACGAGTTGTTTCAACTAAAACCGTTGAGATGCCGTTTGCTCGCATGCCTCTGACTGATATAACGAATGGTAAATTTTTTATTCATTTAGATATTTTATCTCTATCAATTATTGCATATTTACACATAAAATTAATACTTTAAATCGTGGTGTACAAATCGATTCAATCCAATAACTTTAAGGCAATTAATAAAACATTTTCAGGAGTAGCTACTAGCCATACTTACGATTTGTGTGATTATACAATACTATCCACATAACTATATCATCTACATCTTTAGTACAATTTTCTTCTTTTGTGTTTTTCATTGTAAACTATTAATACATTTCTTATTGTTTTGCTGACAGTTTCAAGTAATGCATCCACGGTCAGGCATCATGTGCAGAGTTCCAACATTGCCCATATCAAAACCAATCCAAATATGGTCATTGATCTTAGTGATGATGATTCTGAGGGTATACATGTTGCTGATAATAGGAATCAAACATCAAGCAATCGAACTCTTGTACGACGTAGCAACAATCGGCCGACAAATGCGGGTACGCAGTTATTCCTGTTTTTTGATTGTACGTAAATTTTAAATAAATTTACTATTTGCTAATAATAATTTATTTTCTTTTTACGTTTTTCAAGAATATTTGGATTTTGGAGATGCATCATATAAATGCATTTTTTGTGGAGCGCTCTTTTGGTATGTTGAGAGAAAAGGTAAAAAAAAAGGAAGCATCTCCTATCTACACAGCATGTTGCAGTAAGGGCGCTATTGAGTTACCTTCCATAAAAGAACCACCTGAGTGTTTGCGTGACCTGATGCATGGGCGTAATCCTAGCAGCAAACATTTTCAAGAAAATATACGTTCCTATAACAGTATGTTTTCTTTCACATCAATGGGAGGAAAAATTGAGAACAGTGTCAATCGTGGATCAGGCCCTCCAGTCTTTTGCCTTCACGGCCAGAACTACCACCTCATGGGTAGTCTGCTTCCCTCGGATGGGCAGACGCCTAAATTTGCACAAATCTATATCTATGACACAGAGAATGAAGTTTCTAACAGATTAAACTCTGTCAGGTAGTATAAACTATAAGTTTCAATTCTTTAAATTGTCGACTAGCTAAAACTTATATGTGACATAGTTTTTTTTTGGTTGTATATATATGTCATTTTATTTTCAGGAGTTCCAATGATGAAAACAAGCTCCGTCCAGATATTGTTAATGGATTGAAACATATGTTGGACGTTCATAATGAGCTTGTGAAAATATTCAGAATGGCAAAAGAAAAAATTCACCAACACAACCAAACAGAAGTTAGGGTGCGTTTGATTGGTCGGAGGGGTAGTGATGCTCGGACGTACAACTTGCCAACCAGCTCCAAACTGGCCGTTCTGGTAGTTGGTGATTTTGATAATGCATTAGGAGATCGTGACATATTGGTTGAATCAAAGTCCGGACGTTTACAACGTATCAATGAGTTGAATCCTGCTTACTTGGCTTTGCAGTATCCTTTATTACTTCCTTATGGTGAGGATGGGTTTCGAGAAGATATCCCTTTTACGGAACTTAAAAAAGTAACAAAGGATGGTCGAACGACTGTTAGTGTTCGAGAATACTTTGCTTATCGTTTGCATGATAGAGATTCAGATGCACCAACCATTCTGTCAGCTAGAAGATTATTCCAACAGTTCGTTGTTGATGCATACACTATGGTTGAGTCTTCCCGTCTAAGATACATTCGAACACACCAGAAGCAGTTGCGGTGCGATATATACAGAGGTGTGGCTGATGCTGTTTTGCGCGGAGATACTGATGCTAGGGCCCGTGGTAAGCGAGTTATTTTGCCATCATCTTTCACCGGAGGTGCTCGCTACATGATTCAGAACTACCAAGATGCTATGGCAATATGCAAGTGGGCTGGCTATTCGGACTTATTCATAACATTCACCTCGAATCCTAAATGGCCTGAAATCACCAGATTTTTGAAGGATAGAAATCTTAATCCAGAGGACAGACCTGATATCATCTGTAGAGTTTTTAGAGCAAAGCTTCGTGCCCTGATACGTGATCTTAATAACAATTCAATGTTTGGGAAAGTAGTGGCAGGTAAAATTGACCTTTTTAATATTTTAATATTTTAATCTAAGTATATATATTAAACTGCTAAAATATCGTAATTTTTATATCTTATCTTATAATTTATATATTTTTCTAACTAATTATCTATTTATATTTTCAGTTATCTACACGATTGAGTTCCAAAAGCGTGGACTACCTCACGCTCATATTTTGGTTTTTCTTTCAAAGGAGTGCAAGTATCCAACCGCCACAGACATTGATAAAATCATATCTGCTGAAATTCCAGACGAGGCTTCTGATCCAGCATATTATGATGTTGTGAAAGAATACATGGTTCATGGTCCATGTGGTGCAGCAAGAAAAGAATCCCCATGCATGGTTGAGGGTCGTTGCACGAAGCACTTCCCTAAAAAGTTTGCGGATACTACCACTATTGATGCTGAGGGTTATCCACGATACAGGCGTAGGGACAACGGTCGTATTATTGAGAAGAATGGCATACCACTGGACAATAGATATGTTGTTCCACACAACCGTCGTCTTCTTATGAAGTATGGTGCTCACATAAATGTAGAATGGTGTAACCAGGCTCGATCAATCAAGTATTTATTCAAATATATACATAAGGGGCATGATCGAGTTACTGCATCATTTTATAAAAGTAATGAGAATGGTGAGCAATCAGAAAAACCTGTTGATGAGGTTAACATGTACTATGACTGTCGGTATGTTTCATCTTGTGAGGCTGCGTGGCGTTTGTTGGGATATGAGATCCAATATAAGTACCCTCCAGTTATGCGCCTTGGTTTCCATTTGAAAGATGAACAGACTATTCTTTTTGAAGATACAGATGAACTTGATGATGTTATCCGAAAAACTACCATTAAAGAGAGCATGTTTTTGGCTTGGATGGAGGCAAATAAAATATATCCTAAAGCAAGAGAGCTCACCTATGCCGAGGCACCCAGCAAATTTGTGTGGAATAAGACGGAAAGGAAGTGGACACCCAGAAAAAAAAAAGAAAATTTGTTTGGGCAGGGTTAATTATGTTCCTCCTGGATGTGGAAAGGCTCATTACTTGCGACTATTGATAAATATTGTTCGTGGTGCTACATGCCATGAAGATTATATGAAGGTAGGAGTCGTTCAGCACCATACATACCGTGATGCCTGTTATGACCAAGGTTTATTAGAAGATGATCGGGAATATATTGATGGTATCATTGAGGCCAGTGAGTTTGCGTCAGCTGCGTCGCTTAGAGGTCTATTTGCTTCACTTATTTCCAATGATTCTTTAGGCCGACCAGAGGATGTATGGGACAAGTGTTGGAATTACTTATCAGATGATATTCTCTACAAACGGCGTAAACTTTTTCGAAATCAAGGTAATTAAGTTTTTTTTTTCTTTTATTTATTACTTAGTTTAAAGAAACTTTATGTGTAAACACTAAACATATTGTCATGAAAACCTCAGGCTTGTCAAATAGTTGATTAATTAGAACCTTACTAAACATGATTTTACGAAATATAAGGGAAAGAAAAA